ACTTTTTGTTCCCGACTCTGATCACCACCTGAGGGTAGAATTTACGTTCCTTGTAATACCATTTGTAATTTAGAAATATAACTGGGGAAACTGGAGTACTAGTTTCTCATGAGTAAACGTGGGTATCTCGGCCATTTTTTTTAGATCCAACGCTATTCTGTTCTTTACCTGTATTCCAGATACTATCCGATGATCGATTAGAACTGGTAGTCCGTTATAATGAGGGCATGGGATTCCATTCTCTTTCACTTGTGTATGTTACTCGCCTTTCGTGCGGGTTATGAATTCCGTAGTTCAAACTCCTCAGTAGAAGTTTTAAATTGATAAAAGTGTGATGTGGCAAAATTTGGACTGGAAATATGATTCCCCGTAATTATATTTCTTATGCGTATTATGATTGTCTCTATTCCTCATTGATTTGTTTCAAATAATTTCCGAGCTTTCAGCTGTGATTGCAACTAAACCAGCTGATCCATCGTTGGATTTTCGCAATCATGCGCATGCCGGTCCGAAGGGATTAGGCAACATTTCAACCTTAGTTTTAAAGTTGATGAAATTTCTGGATTCACTATGGGAGAGTGAACAAGTTTCAACTGATTAGTGTGATCCGGTCATCTAACGGATTTACTCGAAGGGTGCCAAATCTTCTGGTGAAAACCACAAAGTGATTAGTTTCATCATCATAGTGTCTAAACTCCCCACTGGTACTAGATTCCGTCTTTCGTCTATCACATGAGTTTTAGACCTGATGGAGGTTACATCGAACACTCATCCTCAAATTATAAAGCATAAACTCGTTCCCTAAATACAAAATGTCTATCTTTCTTGATCTAAAAGCGTCTCGGTCGACTACTATATACTCTGGTACTATTTCTCCTTGGAGGATGTACCAGGGAAGTGTATTTAAATATTGCCTGATCATCCTTATCATCATAGAACGAAATACGGAGAAGGAAATTTTGCTGATCGCCGCACAAATTCGGTGAGAATATAGAAGATGGACAGAGATTGGGCCTATTTTGAGGGGGACAACAAAGTTAACCTCTATGATAAACACACAGAGTACATTATTAGTGATCATTATTGTCAATACTGTTGGATTATATATCNTTATATATCGTTTTTCGAATCTCCATATCAGTTTTCATTCACCTCTCTTTCTGTCGCTCGCTCACCCCAAACAGATCCCGAATGGGCCAGCCTAAATTTGGTCGTACTCATCTGTATCGAATGTAGCGGTGTGCATCGGGAACTGGGCACGCATATTTCTCGGGTTCGCTCAGCCACCCTAGACACGTGGACCCGGGAGCATTTGGCCGTGATGGCTTCGTTCGGGAACACACTGGCCAATTCGGTCTGGGAAGCCTCGGCCCCGTCTAAAGCAAAGCAACTCAAGTA